AGGATGGCGGGGGCCTCGAACTGCGGCCCGAGCGCGATGAGAAAGATCGCGGTCCTGTAGAGGTCGTTGCCGAAGGCAACCTGCTGCAATTCTGTCTGGCCGGCGGCCTGGGCCCCCCTTCGGAAACTCGCGGGTGCGTAGGGGCCTGGGAGCTCTGCCCTCGAGCGCGTGCCATCGCGAAGATCATCGTGTCTCGCAGGGGGGCCCGGCCACGATCCCGAAGACTCTGCCCGCCCTGATGGCGGCGGCCCGGGAGAGCGCCGTCTCGCGCTTGGCAAGGTCCTGAGGTGCCTCAAGATGCGCGAGTGAGTGTTGAAGCCCCTGCTGCGCCCAGAGTGAAGCGCGCCCCAGGTGTGCCTCTCCGCCTCGTCGATCCCGACGCGGTCCATGATTGCGCGCCCCTTTCCAAGCGCCTTTGGTCCTCAACACCTTGCCGCGCTCGTGACAGATGATGCCCTGCTGGGCCTCGGGCGGGTGCTCGATGACGCTGGGCGTCGCGGGGCCGAGCTCGGCGGCAAGCTGCTGGAGTTGCAGCCGCCGCGCCTCGTGGCGATGGCGGTTCATCTGCTAGGCGTGGTACCTGAAGCGAGCCTTGAGATTGCCAGCTGGGCGATGTGCTCCTGCTGGTCGCGCGCCCGCGCTGCGAAGCCCTCGGCGCCGCCCGGCGCCCTCTCGTCTTCGAGCGTGAAGTTCTGCGGCCGGGCGGCGTCCTCCAAGACGAGCGTGTTCCATGAGCGCTTGTCGCCCCGAGACTCGTCGACCAGCCGCCGCAAGTTGAGCGCCTGCGAGAAGACCGGCCGCGCGAGGTAGCGAAATCTTCGGCGCCTGATGGTTGTCGCAATCGGGGCGTCCTGGCATCTTAGGTGCACCTCGTCGTCCGCGAGTTGGCGCTTGGCGTTCGCGGAATGCTTTGCCACTGCGGCCGCGCGGGGGCTGGCGCGCTGTAAGCGGGCCCCAGGTCTCGCTGTCGTAGACGAGCTTGCTGAAACCAGGTGGCGACAGGTGCTAGGTCTTGGCGGCGGCGCCCGCCTGGTGGGGCACGAAGATTGACTCCTTCATAGGGCCTTCGGCCGAGCGGTAGCCGATGATCCGGCGCATCTGGTTGGGCCCGTCCGAACCGTCGGCGGCGGCCGCGTCGCCGAGCGTGACTCTTTGGGTGGTCACGGCCGTAATGACGACAGTGCTGGTGGTGGTGTCGTCGATCGGTCGCGTGAGCTTTGCTGGGTTCGTTTGGGAGGTCCTGGCTCGGGTGCGCTGCTTTTCGTGGCCTTCGACGTGTTGAGGGGATTTGGCCCTCTTAGGGCGGGGCTCGTGGCCGAAGAACTCGAAGCGCGTCTTGATGGCGGCCATCATCTTGAAGTTCTCTCCTTGATCTTCGCGCTGCCCCTCAGCGCGCGAATGAATGCGGCGTCGCCCGTGGGGGGGGCCTCCGGCAGCTGCCCGCCCTCGGTCTCTAGCTGGACCGCGGTGGAAAGGGGTCGGGGCCCATGTCCGGCAGGTACGACGCAGAGCCCCAGGTCTGCAGCTCCGAGTCTATCGGCTCGAGCGCCTCCGCGAAGCTGACGTCGGAAACGAAATCGGCCAGCCCGTTGCCTGACCTCGAGCCCTCGTGGCTCTCCGCGAATAACCCGTCGCCGCGGAGCTGGAAAAAGGTGGCGCGGCGAGCCTCCTCGAGCGGGTTCCTGAAGTTCTCGTCCGTGTCGCGCAGGGCCAGATGGCCTGGCGAGCTCGTCGGGGCAGCGGTGGCGGGCTTAAGCCGGTCGGGCGGTCCACGTCCTCCGAGGCCCTCTGCAAGTCTGGCGCGATGCCGCTCTTTCCCAGCACGAACTCGCGGAGGACGGAATCTAATGCCCGCCCGAAGTCAGGCTCGATGGCGCCCGCAGAGCCCTCCGCGCATGCAGATCCTGAAGAAAACCTTGACTGCGTGAGTAGAGAAGGTCCCCGACTTCTTGGGCATGCCATCGCACTTCGTGGCGCGCAGGAGGGCGCCGCGTACCTGCAATGTCGTGGAGGGCCGCCGCTTGTGGCAAAGCTTGGCGGCCGCGTTGTTGAGCGCGATACTTTTGTGAACTTCCAGCTCTGACATTGAGCCAGAGCACCTGTGGAGCTTAACCTCGATGCCCGTCTTGAACAGGATCGGCTCCTGCCCCCTGACGATGGCCTTCGTAATGAATGGGTGCCAGTGTCTGGCCGCCTCCTGCGGCGCGAGCTTCAGCATGTCGTCCAAGTTTTGGTCTTGCTCTCCTGCTCTGCCTCTCTTGCCGTCGCTGAAGCTTCCGACGAGGGTGTCCATCGGTATGGCGAGGAGTGGCGAGACGTCTGCGGGGGACTTGCTGCGCAAAGCCGTGCTGTCGAACATGTCGACTATATGCAGCATGTCCGCTGCTTCGATGCTGGCGAAGTGTTGTAGTGGCGTTCTGCAGATCTCGCTCTGCGCGCCCGTGGTGGTGCCGTCCTGGTGCTTGAAGACTGGGAGGGCGCCCTGGCACTTGGGCTTCCCCCGCCGTGGGCCAGGATCTTCTCGGCGACTTGCCGCTCCTGCTTGGCGTCGTTGGCCTTCCTGGTGTCTGCGAGCTTTCTGCCGAAGTTGGTGAAGTTCTCGTCCCAGTCGGCGGAGGAGCTGATGCTTGAAGACTCCCACTGTGCGCTTGACGAAGACCCTCGCTGCGTCGTGAGTGATTCCAAGACTGCCCGTGGCCAGGCTCAGCTCGCATGCCCTGACTAGTTCCGCCATCTTTTGGAACCAATTGTCCTCGAGGTGCACGTGCAGCAGGGCCTCCGCGCCCATCTTCTTCCTGAAGACCCACAAGGGTGCCGGGTCGTCTTTGTTGGTGTAGCTGCGAGTAAAGCTCTCCGCGTAGCGCCTCAGCCTCAGCAGCCTCATGCTCGCCTCGGTAATGCGGCGTTTCAGGGGGAGAACGGGTTCCGCCCGAAGTGCTCTTTGGTCTCTTCAGCAAAAACTCGTTCGTCTGGTGGAAATGATTATCGACGTCCAGATCCCAACCGGGCCACGTCTCCTTGCTGACGTCGTCTTTGAAGGCTTGGATGCTCTCTTTGTTCTTGAGCTTGTTCGCAACGAGCTGGATGGTGCTCCTGTGGCTCCGATGTCGTCCAGTGCTGGTTCCCAAGGACGTGGCCTGCACTGGTAGGTGATCGAGATTGTCGGTCTTCGTTCCGCTGTTGCCTTCTATCTTCTGCTGCCTCTTTGACTTCCTGCCTTGATCGCCGTGCAGTCATCTATGCGCCTCGTGCCCCTCCTCTTCATCCTCATCCTCTTCCTCTTCGTCATCGTCATTATCATCCTCTTTCTTGCCCTTTTCCTCACTTCCCCTTCTTAGGATTCCTCTTCCTGCTCCTCTTCTTCTCTCTCTCTCTCTTTCTCTCCGCCTGTCTGTTTGTCTGTCTTCCTGCCTGCCTGCCTGCCTGCCTGGCTGCCTGGCTGCCTGTCTGTCTGTCAGTTTGCCTGGCTGTCTGTCGGCCTATCATCATATCTCTCTCTCTCTCTCCTCCTCTCCCTCTCTGTCCCTCTTCATCTCCATCCTTCTCTGCGCGCCGCTTGGCGCGCCGCAAGGTCGAACCCTCAGGGCGCGCCGGCGAACACAGGAGGGCCCAGGACGCCTCTGACGCCCGCCCCGTTCGGACCATTCAGCGCCGCGCCGGAGAGGTTCCTGTGGGGCCGCGCCCTGGGCCCGAACGCCCCCTGCCCAGCTCCCCCCGCAGAGGACCGGACCCGTGGCCGTACCCTGAGGCCGACACCGCATGGAACCGTACCCTGCGGCCGACGTTCCCGCCCGCCCCCCCCCCCCCCCCCGCAGGGGCGGCATAGGCCTAGCCGTGGAACCTGCGCTGGGGCCGTGCTCACAGGCCGACGCCCCCCAAACGCGGCCTCGAGGCGAGGGACTGCGCCGCGCTGCCTGGGCCCTGGGGCTGCTCGACGACCAGGCGCAGCTTGTCGAGCGGGGCCGTGGCCCGTAGCAGCCCCTCGCGGAAGCCAGGCGCCACGCCGAGCCGCGCGAGGAGCCGCGTGCGCTCCGCCTCCTCCCTGCGCTCCTTGGCCTCCGGCGGGGCCGCAACCCCCGCAGCAGCAGCCGCGGGCGCCAAGGCGGGCACCTCCTCCGCGGGCGGCACCGCCGCCAACCCCAGCGTGTCCACCGCCATGGCACCCCGCCCCTTCGGCAGCAGGGCCCTGGCCCCCATCAGCCCAAGGGTCGTCAGGGCTCTTTTCGGAGCCAGTCCGAGGGCACCCGCCGCCTCCAGACGCATCCGCCAGCAGGAGGGCAGCAGGAACCGCCAGCCCAACACCAGCAGCCACCCCAGCGGCATCTCGCCGTCGAAGCGCGAGGCGCTGACGGCGGCGTCGCCGCCGCTCAAGCTTGGCCGCCGGAGCGGCCGCAGGCGGAGCAACAGCTCGTTCGAGAGGGGCGCTGGCCGCGCGGCCGGTGGCGGAAGGCGGCGACGGCGCCGCGCGAGCCGGAAGCACCGCCGCAGCTGCCTCACGGGCCACCGCAGCCACCGCGCGCCTGGCGCCCTTCGCCAGGATCGCCCTCTTCCTCCCTCTCTCTCCCTCTCTCTATCCCCCCATCTTTTTTTTTTTGTTTCTCTCTCTCTCTCACCCTACGTGCATCTCCTCCTTCCCCCACTCTTCTCCTTATTCCTCCCTCCCCTCCTCCTCCTCCTCCTCCTCCTCCTCCTCTTCCTCGATCTCCTCCTCCCCCTCTTCCTTCTCCCCCTCATCCTCCTCCCCCCCTTCTTCTCCGCCTGCCCCTCCTTCCAGCTCCTCCTCCCGATCCTCCTCCCCTCCCGCCGTGCTCCTGCTCCTCGCCCCGCTTGGCCCCCTCCCCGCTCGTGCTCCTCCTTGCCCTCCCCCTCCCGCTCGGTGCTCCCGCCCCGGCGCCCCCTCCCTCCTCCTCCCCCTCCTGCCGTGCGGGCCAGCGGCGGGCGCAGCCCCGCCGAGGCCTCCCCCCCCCACGCCGGGCGCCCCGCGGACCGACGGCGGCTTCGGCGAAGCCGGGCGGCTGTCTAGGCGCAGCGCCGCCAGGCGCCCGCACAGCTCGTCGGCGCTGTCCTCCGGGGAGGGGGGAAGGGAGGAGGGGAGGGGAGAGGGAGGGGAGGGGGGAGGAGAGAGGAGGGGAGGGGAGGGGAGAGGGGGGAGGAGAGAGGAGGGGAGGGAAGGAGAGGGGAGGAGAGAGGAGAGGGGGGAGAGGCAGGCTGTGTGCTCAAGCGTCATATCAGACGTCCTACCCCTCCCTCCCATCCTTTGCCATTGCGTGGATATCCTCTCTACTCGCACCGTCGTATCTCGAACAGGACGATGGTCCCGAGGGAGTGCGCGATGCATGGTATAGCACAGCATAGCATGACATCGCGTTGAGAACGCGACTCATGTCGACAACACGGTCAGAGTGAAACCAGACATGACACAGGACGGAAAATGCAAATGGACGCTTTGGAAATCGAGAGCGCAAAAATGAGGTCAGCGCTGCACCAAGAGCACGATCTCAAAGGACAGGAATCGCGGAAATGAGACCAACGCTGCACTAGGAGCATGATTTGGAAGGACTGGAAGCGCGGAAACGAAACCAACGCTGCAGCAGAAACGCGACTTTGAAGAACAGAAACAACAAACTGAGGTCAGCGCTACAACGGGCACCTGATTTGGAAGGACTGGGCACGGGAAAATGGAGCCACCGCTGTAGCAAGAACGCCATTTTGAAAAGACTGCAAATGTTCGGATTGAACAAACACATATGAATTATGAACTCGACGGCATCCGGTACACAAAATAACAATACGCAGAGAAGACCCGGCCTCACCAGCGTCTTCGAGGGAGAGAGGAGAGTGTATGAGGAGGAGGAGGAGGAAGAGGAGGAGGAGGACCACCTCCCCCACCTTGAAAGCGGAGTGTGGGGGTGCAGGGACTGCGGCATTATCTCCAAGCAACGAAGTGTGCCGTTCAGAACCATTGTCCAAGCAAACCTCATGTCCTGGCCAGGGTGCACAGGTCCCGCAAAATGTGGGGGCTCAATCATGAATTGTTCTCTTGCATGGGGTGCGGCTGCCACGCGCGGCGACAGGTCAAGGACTTGGCCGCACGATGTAGTCGCGGGCCAACCAGTGGGAGGGTGTGTGCAATCAAGTTGTTGCGCAGTGGGGTAGACCCGAACAGCAAGAGGAAGGTCGGAGCCCCATTCCCCGTCCACTGACTTCGGCGGCCATATGCGTGCCTTGCGATGCGGGCACGCGCTCCGAGGCTCCAGAGGCTCCAGAGGTGGAGGAGGAGGAGGAGGAGGAGGACTGGGAATGAGGAGAAGGATGGGGATGAGGAGTGAAGCTGAGGATGCCGATGATGATGCTGATGATGCTGACGATTATGATGATGCTGATGATGATAATGATGATGCTGCTGATGATGCTGGTGATGGTAATGATGATGCTGATGATGACGATGACGATGCTGATGAGGTTGCTGATGCTGATGATGACGATGACGGTGCTGATGATGTTGCTGATGCTGAGAATGGTGATGCTGCTGACGGCGATGACGCTGCTGATGACGATGATGATGCTGCTGATTATGATGCTGATGGTGGTGGTGCTGCTGCTGATGATGATGATGCTGATGACCAGCGCTCGGCGGAGGGCGGGTAACGGCAGCGGCGGCAGCCCAACAATGAGCGCTGAGCTGTTGACCTGGAAGGATCGCGTCCTTGCGCCAGGAGCCTCACCACCCTGGAGGCCGTGGACAAGGCGTGGAAACGGCTCGTGAGAGCAAGGACTCTCTGCTCAGCAGCAACCTGTTGCCTCACCCTGAGGCTGTGAAAGGCAGAGAAAGCGAGATCGAACGCAGTCGAAATCGAACACAATCGTTGCTTCGAAAACTTGGGGATATCAGTGACAAAAAGAGCAGACAGATAACCCCCATCCCCCCACTCTGCAAGGAGGCGCGGGAGGCAGAAGGTGAGCACAGGACGAATTACAGGGCAATTCGCATAATGTTCCACGGAATCGCCTCCCACAGCTTGACAACCGAACCGACGTACTTGGACATCTTGACGATAACGACGAGTGGTGGGCCAAGCGTTTACGAGAGCTCTGAGTGTGGCGACCGTGCGCGAATCAGGGAATTTCGGTGCTAGAATACCGAAGTGTGCACACAACATATTGGCTTGATGGCTCCAGTACTGCAGCCGCGGGGACAGAAGGCTCGCCCGAAGCACATTCAGCTTGTCCACTACCTGAGAATCGATCTTGGCTTGGAGGTCGGAATCCGTGGCCTGGAAGGTGCCAAACTGTGTCCTCATAACCTGGAGCTGATTCATAACCTGGAAAAAGATTGAGTCCCGAGAAAGCAGCATCCAACTGTAAGTAACCACCCAGTTCGTTCCAGCCACGATCTCTCAAACTTGCTCCAGCCTCTCCTAGAGCGCCTCACTGCGAAGGCCAACACGACACAGGGCAAAACGAACATCAACACTGATAGGGCGAGGCTGATGAGAGAGACCGGAATCCTTGAGTAGGTACATCATTGCGGGCGAGGAGGAGTGACGCGGAGAGGCAGTGAGTCGCTGAAGCCCGGCACGCTCCGCCTTCAGCACGTCATCCGTCAAAGTGTGGCACTGCGCGACATAGCTCAGCACGGGCTGCGTGAACGTATTATGCGTGAGCATACTCGCACGTCGGCCAAGCAGGGGACCTCGAGTATGACGACAACGTTTTTGGTGTTCCTGGATCGGTTTGGCCCAGGAGAGTTTGCGAACATTCAAACCTACAAACATACCTGGGTACTTCGCTGCCTGCGCGATTTTGAATCGCTCGGCCAAAAGCCCATGGTCATGGAATGTCGCCACAACCGAGTCCCGATCGAAGTCCCTGGGGAGAACAATGTACGTCTTTTCAGGATGGATGACCAAGCCCAGAACCCTGGGAGCAAGTGCGAACTCTCGAAGGACTATCGGCAAACCAACGTAGGTGTTATGCGCGACCGCGCCCTGGTCATCTGCGAAGACCAGGAAATCATAAAGCCCTGTCCTTAGACACCACGGCATATCTATTGACGCAGTCAGTGGCGACGGCAGAGATGACGCCTGACATCGGGCAGCCCTGCTTCGCACCACGTTCCAATGGAAAGGTTTGGTCTAGACGCCCGCAGAAACGGACCCGAACAAGAGCGCCGGAGTACAGGTTCCCGACGGCGGTGGAAATTGGGCTGCCTCCAACACTGCAAAGATCCACTCGTGAGAGATGCTCGGGAAGGCAGCCTTCGCGTCCAGGAATGCTGCCCCAGACTCCTGGCTGCCATCTTGCGCGAACCGCATGAACAACTGCGCACCGAGGCGAAAAACATTGTCTAGAAGCTGGCGGCCACGACTAAAGCCACGTTGGAACTGGCGCGCGCGCCTCGCTGCATAGTTGGCCATCGGCGAAGCGAGGCAGGCAGCGGTGATCTTGCAATCCGTGTTAGATAATGCTAAGGAGGGCGAGTCGCTTCAGGAATACGAGTTTGCTCAAGCCGGCCCCCCATCTCCCACCTTAGGTAGACAGACAGCAATACTTTCCACAAACGAAGCAGGAACATCATGTCCTTCACCAAGATATCTGTGCATGTCGTAAAGCGCTAGTTGTGCAAGGTCATCGCCGTTCTGCCATGCGCCGCAGGGAACTCCATCCACGCCAGGTGGCGAGTCTCGGCAGCGAGCGAGAAGCTCTCGAAAGTCAGCGAACGAGACCTGCCACTGAAAGTCATTGGGAGCTGCTTGTGCATGCTTTAGATACATCGGGAACCGCTCTTGTTTACGGGCAGAGACATCCCCCCGATACTTCGCCAGAATAATACGTGCACATGTGTGTGGGTCATGATGCTGCGTGCCATGCTGATCCGTAATAGCCTGCAGAGTGACGCGGTTGTGTGGCGGTGCCCAGGCGCCGACAAGGTCTCGAATGCGAGCAGAACGCCCGTCGCGCACACTAAAGGGTACACGTTCATGTTGCACTTCGGCCTCCATCCTGTCATAGTGTGTTGTATAATGTAGCTATATGTTGATGCAGCCATTCCAGGTCCGCCCACCCCCAAGAGTCGATATTGCTAAATCTCTGAAGCACCTGGTGCGCAGCCACCGCCCGCTGAACGAGACGAGGTTGCCCATGCCGAACCCCGGGGGCCGCAGCTAAACGCCGGCTGATTTTCTCCAGGTCAGTGTCGGGCCCCATGATCTCCTTCTTCCTTTGCGCTTTCCTGGGTGCAGAAAACGTTGGGATTTTGATTTCGCCCAGACGCGTCGGCGGGTGCGTGGATAGATCCACCGCGCGCCGCTCGCCCTCAAGCCGCTGCGCGAAGTGAGGGGATTGGCTGACCCAAGAAGGAATGCGGGGGGCGCGTCTAACTTCTGGGCGTCTCTGCACGCAGAAGACAGGTACGTGGTCGCTTGGCAGGTTGCCGCCGACCACGCTGCGAGAGACACCTGCAAGTGGACGCGAGTCGAGGATTTCCTCAGGGTGCAGAGAGCAGCGCGGCCTATCGTGACGTGCGACTGGAGCCGCGCGACCTTGACCGTACTTTCTATGGGTAGGGTCCGTCTGGTAAAGTTCCATGTGCAGGTGGGGCCGTTCAGCGAAAAACCGAGCAAGCCCAGGATTGTTTTCCTCAGCTTTGCCGTCAAGTCTCTGACGAACCTCGCCCGCCTCGGAAAAGTTGAAATCGCCCAGGATATACTTGGCACGCAGAGTAGTGGGAGGGGCCGACGACTGACATGTTTCAGAAATGCTTTCTTATGAGAGAAGGGTAGAGTAGGATCCACATGCACATTTGCCGCGGCCATGGCTTGCTCGGGCCGCCAAAGATGGATAATCGCCAATCTGCCATGGGCGGCCTCTTCGAGCCGCGCCTGCTCGAACTTCGCGCGCGGGCGCTCGCGCGCGATCGTGGGGCGTCCGCCAGCGGCAGAACTCGGGCAGTCGGACGGGCAAGTACGATGCCACCGTAGCTTACGCATGAGAGTATCTGTGTCAGTATCATCGCCATGGAACTCCTGAATAACCACTAGATCGTGTTGTTTAGTTAGTGTATACACCTGCTTAAATTTATCGCTGAAGCCCCTATGCTCACCATGCGCGCTGCCGAAAGGGGCCGGGGCATTCCAGGTGGCCAGAGACAGAGCAGACAGAGGAACAAAAGGCACAGAGTGAGAGGAACACGCTTGCCTGCGCACACAGGCCTCAGAGCCGCTCGTAGCTGCGGTAGAGGCCGCCGCAAAAGAGGAGGGCGACGAACACGTCGCAGAGCTTCGCGAAGCTGCCGGCCACGTGCTAGGACCAAACTGGTCACGTCTTTCTTCGCTGTCAGGTAGAGCAGCCCCTTCTATTTGCCAAAAAGCCGTGGGTCGTTGGCAATCCCCCTCAGCATCTCATCGATCTTGGCGCCAAGGACTCCCCAGTTCTCGAGATTTGGCATGTTCGGATCGAAGCTGTCGCCCACCTGCTCGCTGCCGCGGATGGTAAAGAGCTTCCGCACTTCATCGTCCGTGTAGAGGTTGGTGAGACCCTGGTAGCCGTTGACGCCCAGACGAGAGTGACTCATCGCAGCTGCATGCGGGCCAGTCTTGTGGAGATCCAGAGTCTTGGCATAGATGACCGAGGCAACACGCTGTTTTGCCCGAGCATCTAGGGGAATATCCGCACGACTACGCATGTTATGAGACGACCGCGTGCGCCGATCGGTCCAATCGATGTCCATGTTGGTGACGAGGTCCTGACACCTTCTGGCGATGATCTCATTCGTGAAGACTAGCTGGTGCTTTTCGCGGAGCCCGTGAAATTGGTGTTGCATCCATCAACCACTTCCTGAGGCAAGTTGGGTATAATCTTCGCGGGCCAGTGGGCCTCCATCGCTTTGCCCAGCAACGTGCGTGGAAATGTCCCGATGAAGCGTATGCATGGGTCACTCGGCCGTGCTTCTCCTCGCCGCATTTCTTCACCAGGCATCCATGATAATCCAATTGTTGACCCGTTGCTCGGCGGAGCGCGCGAGCTTGCTGCAGGTTGTGTGTTGATCTGCTCCTGCAGGACGCCGATGGATTTGTCCAGCTTTCTACTTTGCGATCGAACTTAGCCTCCAGAGACTGTGTGTCGCCTTCGAGCTCAGAATATAGCCCAATCAGGTTGTCGAGCGTTCGATCAGTTGCTTCCTGAGCTGTGGCGATTTTCGAGCAGAGCTCACGCTAAAGCCCCGCCATTATGTTTTCATCTCTTGTCTTGTGAGAGCCATCTGGGGGTAAGAAGTGAAACGGTTGGCCACTGATTCGAAACAAGAAAATGGACAGGCCAGGCGCCAACCTGAAATCTGCTCGAGCCGCCCCCTGGGTTGCGACCAAGCTCCAATCGCCAGGTGCTGCCATGATGACGATGCTGATGCCGATGATGAGACTGATGATGCTGCTGATGATGATGCGGATGAAGATGAGGATGCTGATGATGATGAGGAGGAGCAAGAGGATGAGGAGGCTCGGAACAGGAAGATGATGATGACGACGGGGGGAGGACACGGGGGAGGACGAGGAGGAGGAGGAGGAGGAGGAGGAGGAGGAGGAGGAGGGGGGAAAGGATGAGGAGGAGGAGGAGGATGAGGAGGAGGAGAAGGAGTAGGAGGAAGAGGCTAAGGAGACGAAGGAGGGGAAACAGGAAGCCGATGACGGTGAAGATGCGCGTTCTTACCTCTGGCAATGCCTGAAGGTTCCTGCTTCCCCCTCAAGAACTCTTCGGGCTAAGCGCACACGAACAATTTTGACAAGGATGCGCGCCGTGTTCAAACTTGGAAGATGAGGAGGAGGAGTCTCGGGGCATGAGGAGGGATGAAGATGATGATGATGATGATGATGATGATGATGATGATGCTGATGATGATGATGATGATGATGATGATGTTGGGAATGATGAGGAAGAGGAGGGGGAGGAGGACGATGAGGAAGAGGAGGTGGAGGCGGATGCCAGTGAGCATGCACATTCTTATCTTCGGCATTGACTGAAGACTCCTGCTTCCGTCTCAAAGCTTAGGGGTAAACTCACACACTCACCATTTTAACTAGAAGTGGGCATGTTTTTGAGCTAGGGAAAGAAGAAAGAGGATCAGGAGGGGGAGGAGGAATGATGAGGAGAAGGGGAAGAAGAAGAAAGGAGGAGGATGAGACGGATGATGGTGAGGATGCGGATTCTTCTCTTCGGCAATGCCTGAAGACTCCTGCTTCCTCCTCGCGGAAGCTTCGGACTACACTCAAACACCCAAACTTTTAACAAGGATGTGTGCCTCTTCAAGCATGGAGGAGGAAGAGGGGGAGGAGGAGGAGGAGGAGGAGGAGGAGGAGGAGGAGGAGGAGGAGGAAGAAGAAGAAGAAGAAGAAGAAGAAGAAGAAGAAGAATAATAAGAAGAAGAAGAAGAAGAAGAATCATAATAATAAGAAGAAGAAGAATAATAATAATAATAAGAAGAAGAAGAAGAAACATAAGAATAATAGGTGGAAGAGGAGGAGGAGGAGGAGGAGGAGGAGGAGGGGGAGGAGCAGGAGGAGGAGGAACAGGAGGAGGATGAGGAGGAGGAGAAGGAGGAGGATGAGGATGAAGACGATGATGATGCTGATGCAGATGCTGATGATTCTGCTGATGCTGCTGCTGCTGTTGCTGCTGATGATGGTAATGATGGTAATGATGATGATGATGATGATGATGATGATGATGATGATGATGATGATGATGCTGATGCTGATGATGATGCTGATGATGATGATGATGCTGATGATGAAGTTGCGGCTGATGATTATGATGATGAAGATGATGCTGATGCTTATGATGACGAAGATGCTGCTGCTGATGATGAGAAAAAGGACGAGGAGGTCCTCCTCCTGGCGCGTAGCCTCGGCGCCGCAGGTCCTCGATTTCAGCCAAAACTAGAGCAGGGCCCCCACACCTGGAACCTCGCTTCGGATGACAGCGGTTCCCTGGGCTTGGGAGAGGTGGATGGGCGACATCAGCAGCGCGAGAGGCAGCAAAGACAAAGGGGGAGGGGAAGGGGGAGGGGCAGGGGGATGAGGAGGAGGAGGCGGAGGAGGAGGAGGAGGTGGGAGGAGGAGGAAAGAGGAGGAGGAGGGAGGAGGAGGGAGAGGAGGGGAGGAAGAGGAGGAGGAGGAGAGAGGAGGAGGAGGAGGAGGAAGAGGAGGAGGAGCACCTTGTCCTCCTCCTCCTTCCTTCCTTCCCTCCCTCCCTCCCTCCTCCTCCTCATCCACCACCACCACCACCTCCTCCTCCTCCTCCTCCTCCTCCTCTTCCTCCCCCCTCCTCCTCCGCGAGCGCTCGGTGGGCAGCATGGGTCCCTGGCAACCACCCGCCCCTGTATTGCACTGTCTGCTGGCAAGACGCCGTGCGGCCCTGCCAACGAGGCCTCCGAGATCCATGGGAAGGCCGCCGGAAGATTACGGGAGGAGCGGCCTACACTGCTCGCAAAAAGCTACGTGAAGGGACGCACCCCACTGAGCCTGGAATGGCTTTGGAGGTGGCCGTGCCCCCCTCGATGGACACCCGTGCGCCCTGGAGCGCGCATTTCGGCGTGGCGCAGGACGGGGAATCGGAAGCCGCCCCCTGCCCGACTCCCACACTTTACAAAGCAAGGACCTTGCAGGTTGCCCAGCTTTCAGGCCGTGCTGCTGGCCTTCGGCTTCGAGGGCCGCGCTGAGGCCGAGGCGTTGGGCCAGAGGATGGTGGAATCCCGTGCCGGCGCCCAGGCTGCCAGAGCCTCGGGAGCCTCGGAGGCGGCAGGTGACCATGATGATTTTTGAGGTGAGGTGCCATGTCGGTGGCCCCTGGCGAGGATTCGGCCCCCTCGCCAGGGTGCAAAAAACTCTCCTTTGATTGGCACCTCACCGTTTTTCACCTTGCTCTCTCCTTTGACCTTCCCCCTTCGCGGGCAGTGAACCTCCTCCTCCTCTCCTCCTCTTCCTCCTCCTCTTCCTCCTCCTCTTCCTGCCTCCTTCTCCTCCTCCTCCTCCTCCTCCTCCTCCTCCCTCCTCCTCCTCCTCCTCCTCCTCTCCTCCTCCTCCTCCTCCTCCTCCTCCCTCTTCCTCCTCCTCCGCCTCCTCCTCCTCCTCCTCCTACTCCCCCTCCTCCTCCTCCTCCTCCTCCTTCCTCCTCCTCCTCCTCCTCCTCCTCCTCGTCCTTCTTCTCCTCTGGGGCAGCCCTTTCCGCCCTTAGTGTAGCCGCGGCCGGCGGCGAATGCCCCCGATCCTCGGCCACGGAGAGGTGCACCGCGGACTCCCGGAGGTGGTCCAGGAACTGGTCGAAGTGCTGGTCCGTGATGTTCAGCCTCTCCCCGGGAGGAGAAGGAGAGAGCGGGAGGAGGAGGAGGAGGAGGAGGAGGAGGAGGAGGAGGAGGAGGAGGAGGAGGAGGAGGAGGAGGAGGGGGAAGAAGAAGAAGGGATGCTGATGATGATGACGATGATGATGATGATGATGATGATGATGAGGAGGACGAGCGTAAACCCAGGACGCATCAATCATGTTGCAATTCACCCTCCTTCCAAATTCCCTCTTCATAGGTCCCTTCACGAATCTGTTTCCATTGTAGGAAGTGGCTCACTGAAAGACAACCGTCCGAAGAATTCAAAAACAGATGTCACTCCCTCAAGCTTCAAATAGGGGAGATGCCTCTCCAAGACACGAACAAAGAACTACCACAACAATTTCACATTGAAACTGACAGGATGCAGGCACCCTTCAATTTCCCACATTTTTTGAAAATCCTGAATCGTGCCAGAACAATCCCTGGGACTTCAACGCCGCGAATCAACGTTACTGTTGCGTCCTGTGAATCCAGAACCGTGCCATAATGCTGTTCCTTGGGCTTTAGCCCTAAGCATCCTTGAAACTACTGCAAACTGTTTAAGACGAATGTGCTCGGCGCTGAGGCGAGAGCAACATAAGGAATCGGCCTTCATCTTTGATTCGGCTGCAAACCTTCAAGACGAATGTGCGCGACGCTAAAGCGAGATCTCCAATCTCACAGCGAACCACCCTCCATCCTAGAAGCTGCTGCACACTTTTAAGAATGCGCGCGACGCTAAGGAAGGCAGCTCCATTTTCAAAACGGCCCGCCCTCCATGCTTGAACTTCAAATTATAAACTTTAAAATTATATATGCTGAAGATTTCTCAGCCCAACCCAGACTACGGATGCGTCTTGGGTTGCCACAGGGAGGAGCTGCTCATAAGGAAGAGGGGAGGAGGAGGGAGAGGAGGAGGGGGAGGAGGAGAAGGATGAGGAGGAGAAGGAGGAGGAGGAGGAGGAGGAGGAGGAGGAGGAGGGGAGGAGTGAGAGGAGGAGGAGGAGGAGGAGGAGGAGGAGGAGGAGGAGGAGGAGGAGAGGAGGAGGAGGAGGAGGAGGAGGAGGAGGAGGAGGAGGAGGAGGAGAGGAGGAGGAGGGAGGAGGAGGAGGAGGAGGGAGGAGGAGGAGGAGGAGGAGGAGGAGGAGGAGCAGGAGGAGTCTTCTAAGTCAATCAAGAAGTCGTGCGCCCGCGCCCACTGGGCGCGGGGCGAAACATCTCTTCGCCTCGAGCAGAGGGCAGAGGGGGGTTCCCCAAGAGCACGACAGCGAAGGCGAGACGTCGCCGTCGCTGCCGTCGCCGCCGATTTCCCCTGAAGTTGCCGCCTAGTTCTCGGGGCCCTTCGGGACGATCCGGGCATCTCCGGCGGCCGTTCGGGACGATCCGTTCGCTGGGCACCTCCGGCCGCCTCGGCTCTCCAGCGGCCGCCTTCGCCGGAATCCTCGGGACGATCCGGGAACCTCTGGCCGCCTCGGCTCTCCCAGCGGCCGTTCGGGACGATTCGGGCACCTCTGGAACGCCCTCGGCGAGGCGCAGCTGCTGGAAAGCATCCCGGGGCGTCTCTGCGCGCTTTTGGCCCTCCCGCCTCGACTCGCCCGCGCGCGCGCGGCCATCGCGGCCGCCGCGCGCGGGGAAGAGGAGGAGGAGGAGGAGGAGGAGGAGGAGGAGGAGGAGGAGGAGGAGGAGGAGGAGGAGGAGGAGGAGGAGGAGGAGGAGGAAGGAGGATAAGGATGAGGAGGAGGAATAGCAGGAGGAGGATGAGGAGGAGGACCGCAGGAAACCCAAGAGTCATCACCGATGTTGGAATAAACCCTCCCTCCGAACCCCCTCTTCATAGGCCCCTGCCAGGGTTCATTTCCACTGAGGGAATTTCCCACTTTGGAAGACAACCGTTTGAAGACCTTGATGCGTGCCAAAACACCAATCTCGGGATTCCAGCGCCACGGATCAACCTGATTGTTGCGTCTAGACGATCCAGAATCGTGCCAAAACGCCATTCTTGGGACTTTCAGCACCGCAAATCAACATAACTGTCGCGCCCTCATAATCCTGAATACTTCCCAGACACCATTTCTGTCACGCTCATCAGGGGGATCTATGAAACTCTTGCCATTTATTTAAACGCATGTGCGCGGCGCTAAGGCGAGAACCACATTTTGATAAGGAACCGACCTCGATCCGTGAAACTCTTGTGATGCCTTAAAACGAATGTACGCGGCGCTAAAGCGAGAACCACATTTTGAAAAAGAACCGTCCCCAATCCGTGAAGCTCTTACAAGTTCCTGAAAAACGAATGTGCGCGGCGCTGGTGCGATAGCCACATTTTGATAACGACCCGCCCTCCATCTGTGAAGCTCTCGCAATGTTTGAAAAACGAATGTGCGCGGCGCTAAGGCGAGAGCCGCATTTTGAAAACGACTCGCCCTCCATCTGTGAAGCTGTTGTCACTTGTTAAGCTTCAGGGTCATACTTGGTAAGGAAGTCTCAGGCGAAACGCCCGGACCGCCCTAAAAACTGGCCACGGGGTGCGACAGGGAGAAGTTATTCATAAGGACAAGCAATGGGGGGGGAGGAGGAGGAGGAGGAGGAGGAGGAGGAGGAGAGGAGGAGGAGAACAAGGAGGAGGAAAGGAGGAGGAGGAGGAGGGGGAGGAGGGGGGGAGGGGGAGGGGGAGGGGGGCAAGTTAGGTGCGCTCGCGTCAACATCTGACATCCTACCCCTCCCTCCCATCCCTTTCCATGGCGCTGATTCTCTCTATCCGCGGACGCGTGTCGTAGCGGACCTGTGGCTCCGCGCGCGTGTGCGTAGTGGATGGTGGTGCGCGTGCTTGCGTGCGTGTGTGCGTGGTTGTGGTTGTTGTGGTGGTGGTGTGTGTATGTGTATGTGTGTGTGTGCGTGTGCGCGTGTGCTGTGGTGTGACGTGGTGTGGCGTCTTGGTGGTTTGGTGGTGGGCCAGGTGCGTACGTGCGTGATGGCGGTGGTGGTGGTGGTGGCGGTGGTGGTGTGTGTGTGTCTGTGTGTGTGCGTGTGTGTGTGTGTGTGTATATATGTGTGTGTGTGTGTGTGTGTGTGTGTGCGTGCGTGCGTGCGTGCGTGCGTGCGTGGTGTGTCTGTGTGTGCGCACGTGTGATGTGGTGTGACGCGGTGTAGCGTGGTGGTGGTGGGTGGGGTAGTGCGGTGGTGGTGGCGGTGCGCGGTGGTGGTGCGCGTGCGTGCGTGCGTGCGTTGGTGGGTGGAAGTGGCGGTGGGTGTGCGTGCGGCGGGGCGGGGCGTGGTGCGGCGCGGTGGTGGCGGGCGGATGGGCGCACGAGAAAGAGGCCCGCGCTGGGGCGAGAACACCATCCTGAACGACGGAGGCAAAACACCGATCCGAAAATGAGGCCCACGCTGCAGCGGGAGCACAATTCGGAACGATTCGGGAGCAGAAATGAGGCCGGCGCCTCAGCGAGAGCAGCATTTTGAAACAAAAAACGCAGGCGAAAACCCAACTCCGGGGAATCGTGTGTAAAAAACAATACGCGGGGGGGGAATACGCAAAAGACGTCATCAGGGGAAGAGGGAGAGTAGTATTCATATAGAATAATTGTGGAGGAGGAAGGGGAGGAGGAAGGGGAGGAGGAGGAGGAGGAGGAGGAGGAGGAGGAGGAGGAAAAGGAAGATGAGGCAAAGGAGGAGGAGGAAAAGGAGGAGGAGGAAAAGCAGGAGGAAGATGAGGAGGAGGAGGAGGAGGAGGAAAATAAGGAGGAGGTGGAGGAGGAGGAGGAAGAGGAGAAGGAGGAGGAGGAATAGGAGGGGGAGGGGCAGGAGAAGAAACGCCTCTGGTGCACGTTCCTCATCCTGCTCCTCATCTTCTGCTCGTGCTCCGCCGGGTTCTCGCCCGAGTACCTGCCGCGGGGATGGCACGGGGGGGGGCTCTCCTTCGAGACCAGCGCCACACCGCAGCTTTCTCCAGGAGGGGAAACGGAGAGGAGGGAGGGAGGGAGGGATGGGGGAGCGGAAGGTCAGAGGAGGACAGCATAGTAGTAGTAGTAGTAGTAGTAGTAATAGTAGTAGGAGTAGTCGTAGTAGTAGAAGTAATCGTAATATTAATAGTCGTAGTCGTCGTGGTGGTGGTAATAGTAGTAGTAGTAGTAGTAGGAATAGTCGTAGTAGTAGAAGTAATCGTAATATGAATAGTCGTAGTCCTCGTAGTAGTAGTAGTAGTAGTAGTAGAAGAAGTAGTCGTAGTGGTAATAGTAGTAGTAGTAATAGTAGTAGTAGTAGTAGTAGTAGTAGTAGTAGTAGTAGTAGTCGTAGTATTAATAGTAATACTAGTAGCAATAGTAGTAGTAGTCGTAGTAGTAGTAGTAGTAGTAGTAGGAGTAGTAGTAGTCGTAGTCGTAGTAGTAGTAGTAGTAGTAGTAGGGAGTAAGTAGTAGTCGTAGTCGTGTAGTAGT